TTAGCTTTGATTTTTGGTTTGACTTCAGGATTTACTTCTCTTGATTGCCTTATGTGCAAAACTTGCTTAATAGCTTGAACCCTTTTATCTTTTTCATCATCTTGCAACATAGAATATAAAAAGTTTTCTTGAAGACAGCAATAAGAGTTTCCTTAAAGATTTTGAAAAACAATTCCTTGTATATTGTCTGATTTTTAACAAGCTCTATTGTCTTATGAAGAAGTCTAAGAGCATCTTTATAAAGACCAGACCTTTTATGGGCAAACCACATGGGGTAATATACTTGTACTACATACTTTGTAATTGTACACAACTCATCTGTAGGATTCTTCACTCTTGTATAAATTATCATTATTCTTAAAGAGTTAACCATCTAGCATAGTAACTAGAGTTAACCATCTGGCATAGTAAATGGGTCCTAGTTTTTTCATTGAATATTTTGGAGGTATAAAGCCTTTAGATATTCCAATGCAGTATTCATAAAGTTTACGTTGATCTGTACTTAAATCAGATAAAATATCAGAGTTTACGTAGGAATCAATCTCTGAATGAATTGGAACAAAAACAACTATTGGTAAATCAAGCGAATCACCTGCAGAAGCTTTTTGACCAATAGGGCCCTTATATTTCTTTGGATCGTTACTTTTACCATCTACTTCAGTTATGACATGGCGAAGTGGTAACTCATTTTGGTGAAGTACACATCCTATTTAATGGATTCGTCGATTTAAAAGCCTTTCTAATGTCACAACTAAGCCATTATCTGCACCAGTATTTGCAGAAGTATTATCAAGAACAATGGCTTCTAAACTACTAATGCTGTTGTATTTTTTGAGTATTTTTAGTGTCTCGGTTGCCATTGTAATTCCTGTTCCATTTTTTATTTCAATATGAGTTGAATATTTCTTAGAAAAAGGTCCACTTACTGCAGTAAAAGTTAAGTGATGTTTATCCTTTACTGTTCTATTAATAATAGGTTCTGCATAATGATCATATCCTAATATATGTGCTAATGTTTTTTTGTCTTTTTTACTATCTACTTCAATGACTTTCAAATGAAAAACTTCTAAACTGTTTTTTTCACTAATCATGGTTAAAACACGCTTTTTAGTGTCAAATATCTTTTTTTTTTCAGCGATAATTTGTGATCTGTTATTCTGAGTTATAATTTGATAGTCTATCAAGGTAGCAGTTGCTATGGCAGATGTTGCAGGGTCACTAACTTCGAATCTGATAGCAGCTTTGGCAATGTTAGTTAAATCTGTTTAATTTTTTTTACACAGTGGTTTTGCAAAAAACTCATGATTCTGATTTTTATAATCATCATTGTTATCTATTTCCACATCATAAGTTTTACTGATACAATCATTATCTGAATGAAGTACCGTGTCACTTGTTAAATTAATTTTCTCGTTACTTATTTTTCTTTTGATCTTGGCTGTCTCTTTCGTATCAATTTGGCCTATCTGTCAGGTTCCAAAGGGCCCTTTCTTAGCTTTCTGATTCTTTAAATACTCTCGTTCTAGAACTGGAACCTTAAATTAAAAAAAATTCATTTTAAAGCTCATAGAATTTAAAATAATAAAAAGCATAAAAAATAATAATACAAAAAAAAAAAAAAATGTAACCTGTTTGCTTTCTTCACAGAGACATACATAGTGCTTGTTAGAGCAACCCTTGCATCGAACATTTCTAAAGAGTAATATGTAAAATAAAATATAATCCCATAATTTGAGAAGAAATAAAAAAACTGTACAACTGTAAAATTTCTTGACAGTTTAGTCACAAATTTGTTTGAACAAACATAATTTTAATAGTGTGGCTTTTTGAAAATGTAACTTCAAACCTGTCATCACAATTTAAATAAGGAAGTTCACATCTGCATGTTGATATATCAAATAACTTTGAAAGCTTATTTTCCAACCAACAAACACTGTTTTTATGTTTTGAAGCTTTAGATCGTTCAGCTGCAATTACTTTTTAAAATCTTCTGTGTAACTTATTTCTTAGAGGTTTCTCCTTCATTAGTGGAAGATTTGGATTCACTTATTTCCAAATTTTAAAAATTTCTTCACTTACTTTTAAAACTATGGCATCAGAATCAATTTTTTTAGTTGTAATCATTTCTTTTTTGACCTTATAGGCATATTGAATAATCTGTTTATATGTTGGGAGGTCACTAACAGGTAGTTTGTTTGGTTGCCCAGCATATCTTTCACTTTCATGTCTAGTTATAATATTATGTATTCTTTTTCTTGTTGGTTTCCCAGATTCACATTTTGCATTCATTTTTAATATTTAAATTTAGTCTGAAAAAGAAACTAAATATATGGCTAATATAAATACTTTATCCATATTAGATTTTATATAATATTTTATATCTTAAAACATTGCAAAAAATATCCTTTTCCTAACAAAAAAAATGAAACTCATTTAAAAATGGCAAACTTGTTGTTATTATAACAATTTATGACGCAAAAATAGTATTTTAAGTGACGTTCTGTTCTATTTTGCAATACTTAAATGAAGCCATAAAAATGTAGTTTTGTTTTTCCCAAAAAATGACAATTTTTTAAATTGCAAATAGTTTTATTGAATATAAATAGAACATTTCCCAAAGTGAGCCAAGTGTTGACTTTAACTTGGAAGTGGCTTAATGCGCATATTTCAATAAAATGAACTTTGATGATTAGGTTGCTTAGATTTGGTAAAAATTCATTTGATTTTAGAATTGTAATCAATTTTTTGGCATTTTTGAAATTTGAAAGAAATTGGACTTTCATTCAAAAGTTATCTCAAGTTATGCACTTGGCCGGTTACTTTAGCACACTACTGTATATATGTGCGTAAGTATGAGAGTATGTATATATGTATGTATATATGTATGTATGTATGTATGTATGTATGTATGTATGTATGTATGTATGTATGTATGTATGTATGTATGTATGTATGTATGTATGTATGTATGTATATAAACTTTTTTATAAAAATGCAAATCATTTTTATAAAAATAAATAAATAAAAATTGCAATGCTTTTAAAAAAAAAAAATTAAAAAAAGAGCGTCAATTTAAATGTAAATGTTTTTGATTAGATTAGGCTATTTGATAAATTGAAAACTATTACATCCTAAATTATATTGATAGATATAAAATTACTCTACTGATAAAAGATAAAATTATTGCACTCTAAAATATTGTATAATAATTTTAATTTTATTTAATGAATTATATATTTTAATTACTTTAACATATTGTTCACTTTTATTGTTGAATGTTTAATTGTTTTAATAATTCTTTAAATGCCTGCATTTTATTACAATAAGAAAATATAAAACTTTTTTTATAAACATTAAAAACCTTTACAGCTATTTGTCAGATTTTTATTAATTAAGTAATGTTGTTAATAAATAAATAGGCACCTAGTGTAAAAACTGAAAGACAACCGTCGTCTAAAGAATTTTTTCACAGCAAAATAAATGACACTTGTTATGTATATATTCTTGTAACATTAATGTTACAAACATATGCTTGTAACAAGTATAAAACTAAATTTTGTATTTAATAAACGATTTTTTAATGAATAAAAAGATAGCTTGTACTTAAACCAAAAACTCTCGTAAGAAAATGTTTAGAGGAGCAGTTCGGCGTGTTCGTTTTAAGAGAGCTTTTCTCCACTTTTTCACTCATTTTCTCCTGCCTAGTCCTGTATAAATATATGTATGTAAGTCTGTTAGTATGTATTTAGGCATGTATTTGTATTTGTTAGTACATATAGGCTTTTCATTTTAAAAAAACCCTCTTATGAAATTGTGTTATATATATAAGTAGCAACCATAGTAGTATTTATACAAAAGAAAAAGAGATAAAATTTTACAACAATGGGACAGAGGCTCAAGGTTAGCAGCTAGAGCAGGTGCAACAACATACACAATATTTTATGAACCTTGTCTAAAAAAGAGAGAGTTTTATTAGAAGCACTATCTAAAGGTGCAATGATAAATAAGAAATTTATTTAGAGTTGGAATTAGAAGTAAGAGTATGCCAATAAAGAGTTCGCAAAAAAGAGAGCTTTACAGTCCCCTAGCTTTGTGGATGCAAGTTATACTTTTTAATGGATTTGATACTATATTGCTGTAATATGGTATCAAATTTGACCAAAAATTTTAAACACTGTATAAAATTTTTGGTCAATTATTTTGTTAAGAGCTTGAACTAAAATTATACTAAACCAAATGAATATTTTTCTTGAATTTTTTATTTTAAATTTCTGGTTTACTTGTTTTTTAAAATAGTTCATGTCTTATTTTGAACTTATGCCAATAATATCATTCCCAATTTAATATTGTAATTATTAAATCAATCAATATACCAATATAATATATTTCTAAATTAGTTAATATAATTTATGGATATTTTCAAATAAAAAGTTGCGAGAGTTTCAATACATACATTAACTGATATAAGGAGAACACTAATTATTGTGTTAATTAATAATAGCTTGTCTGTATTTTTGTTAAATGTTAATTGTATAAAATGAGCAAAAATATACGTACTTCGTGTTTTTAATTTGATGGTTATAAAGTATTGAACATTAAACTCATAATCGAATACTGACTTGACGTTTGCAGAGTCACAGATGGTGCTCATATTAAATATTTATGTATATCTGTCATATATATATATATATATATATATATATATATATATATATATATATATATATATATATATATATATATATATATATATATATATATATATATATATATATATATATATATATATATATATATATATATATTATATATATTATATATATTATATATATTATATATATATATATATATATATATAAATATATTATATATATATATATATTATATATATATATATTATAAATATTTTATATATATATATATATGTGTGTGTGTATATATATATATACACGTATATATATTTGTTTTTATACTTTTTACACATTATGTTTTGATTTCAGGCAGCGAAACGATTGTTTGTTAATCCAGAAGATGCACTTAAAGGGATTATTTTAGAGGTTAGTTTCAAAATAAGACTTAACAATTGATTTTTTTTTGCATCTTATAAACTTATGTTTTCAACATGTTTACAACTAACTATGAATCAGATTAATTATTCATTAATCATTAATTCATTGATCAATTATTCATTTAAAAAGTTAATTAACAGTGGTAGTAGTGGTACAGTGCTCCCCTTAAAAAGAAAACAATTAACTGAAAATTTGAAAAGTTTAAGGTTGTACAAGTCAAGAAAACATGAAGATAGGTATAAGTTATGATGTTTTGTTGATGTGCAACAAAAAAAAAAACTTGAATAATAAAAAATTTTTATAGCATGATGGGACAGATACAGTATAAGGATGCGACTTGCTGAATAAACGGCCAAGCAAAAATGAGTTTTGGTTGATCAAACTAGAGATGATAGCTTGTTTGAGCATTGACCATCATAGTGTTTGTAAAAAAAAGAAAGAAATGCAACTTTATGACAATGTGAGAGCTCGGCAGATAAAGCAGGTCTAATTACATTTACATAGTGCTTTTAGACTTTGTCTGAGTGAGATGGTTGTTAGATATTTATTTGCAGTAAATGAGTGAGTTTTATTGTCCAAAATAAGATGTGGCTTCAAAGTCCAGACTTAATATCTACAATTTACTGCGAGCCCCGAGCTGTTACAGAAGAGAGATCAGATTAAAAGTTTGCTACTTGTTTTCAGCAATCAAGGAAGTGAAGACTTTTTCTCAAAACAAGAGTATAAAGTTCAGTTGTCAGCAAATAGAACCACTTCAGATGTAAAATTTTCATTAAGATTGTAGTAGAAAAGAAACAATATAGGAGCAAAGATAGAACCTGGTGGTACCCTAAAAGTTACTCAAAATAAAAAAAGTGCAGGCCTTTAAGTATAACTTAAGATTACTTAAGCAGTTAGAAAGAAATGATTTAATAATCTCAAAACTTTTATATAAAGAAACTAAACTCTGTTTGTTTTCTATAGTTTTTAAAAATTGAAAACTTATTTAGCCCTTATTAACAGTTTAGCAAAAATTGAAGAGAATTCTGGAGAACACTTTTTAAAGTATATGGAAATCTTGTCTGAATCACTAACTGTAAAAGTATTTAATTGAGAATTAGTTTTAGCATTGAAAGCTGATTTGGATGTTTAACAATGGGTTAATCTGTTTAACTGGTGTGACAGGAAGAATATGACCATTGAATTCAAGTGTCAAATTTAAAGAAATGTTTTTTCCAAATAACTCTGCTCTATACTGGGGAGATTAAATGTTAGACTTACTTAGTTAATGGCACTGTTGAAGACTTTCCAAAAGTCTCTTGAACCTAACATGAAAAAAGATTTAGTTAACTGTGGATAACGGAGCTTAGCATCAGGGACTTTTTACATTGATTTCTTGCAACAATAAAAAGACATATGTTCTCAAAAGAGATGTTCTTTAGAGTGTGTTACATATTTTATGAACAAACTTTACTTAAAAAAAGAAGATGCTCGAGATTTAGAATTAAAAAAAATACTTTAGGATGTATAAATGTTTATGCAGCCCTGGTCACAAACCCGATCCCTGCTATATTTTATCAAACCTGGCCCTTTCTCCAGTCAAATTGATTCAATCAAATCTATTAGAAGCTTCAGAAAAAAATCTGCATATGATCAGTCCCATGGCATTTGCAAAACTAAAATAATAGTAATTATGCTTATTTAATGCTTATGTCTTCGAATGTTGTCTAGAGATTAAATTGAATATTCAAATATAGATAAAGTCTATAGATAATAAGATATATTTAATAGTTATTGTCTATAGATAATATGATATATTAAATAGACTAACTATTAGAATACAAAACATAAGCGTTTAATTAGTGTAATAACTATTAATTTAATTTTCATTTTGATTTAAATATTAGCAATTCATTTCATTTAACTTTTACTAAAGGGTAAAAATTCACGGTGATTTAAGGTGCCGTTTAGATAAAAGAAATAATTACGATAAACTTAATGGTTAGTTTTTTTGGTTTTTTTTTTTTTTTTTATATATATATATATATTAAATACTTTTATATTTTTTATATTTAATTTGTATTTTCATTTTTAAAGTATTCTTTGGAAAGAATACTTTAAAAACTGAAGCAAAATTAAAAAAGCAATTTAAAAAAGTTTAACAGGGATTTTAAAAAAAAAAAAAATATGTGAATATTTTAATTCAGCATTTTTCATATTTTACAAATATGAAAAATGCATTCAGATTCAGATTCAAATTCAGCATTTTTCATATTTTAAAAATATGAAAAATGCTGAATTTTTAATTATATTATATTGTTTGTGTTTTATCTTAAGTAAAAAAATTATCTAAAGTAAAAATATTAATGTATAGGAGGAAAATAAAAATGTAAAATACATTGAAATGGATTTTAAAATAAAATATTTTTAAAGCTGACAAACCGAGTCAATAAAATGTTCAGCCATTAAAGTCCAAGTCAATAAAATGTTCAGCCATTAAAGAAGTATTTTAGACTATAAGTTTTTTCTCAGGAGTTTAAAAATGTTTATGAAAAAGCATGGAAATCTAATAAACACTTAAGAAAAAATTTAAAAAAAAAAAAACAGAATTTTATTTATACTTTCATAAGCATCAAAACATATTAATTATGAAGTAAAGGATACCTTTATAACAGAACCATGTGTTTCAAAACAAAGTGATAAGATGTGATAAGATGAAAAAAGAAAGGATACAGAAACTTATCAATTATAAAAACAAATAATAAGTGCTATATAGAAAGTAAAAACATGTGGCAAAATTATTCACCAAATTAATTGAGATCGTTACATTCTGTTTTTTTGATAAAGTAAACAGAAAATATTCAAAGTTTGCTAGATTTTATTGTCCTAACTACTGATAATGCACGAGGAGAATTAAATGCTGAAGGAATGTGTTGTCAGTTTCACAAAAATTCAATATCAAAATTTATATACAAGATACAATAAAGGATTTAAACAACTCATTAGGGGAATAGGATGTGCGGATTGTATATTTTGAAAACAAAAACTGCTAAATTGAGTGAGAAAAAGCATTGATGCTTTATGAAAAACTAGATAATGAAGATAGTATCATTCCTACTAAAACTGGATATTTTGCCAAATAAAATTTTGCTGTCTAAAAACCACAAATCAAATCTGATCATAATAGCATATTTATTACACATTCATTGATAAAAAGGGCAACATAGTTTTTAAAACTACTGTATTGGTTTCAGATAGATTATAGACTCTATGTAAGACAAATGCAATAAACAAGGTTAGTACTATGATAAAAGAAAACACTGGACTGCTATTAGATATGTGTTGCAACTAAGTATCTGCGTCTCAAAACGGTACAAGACGAAGCAATAAAAAATATTTTGATAAAACCGGTAAAAAATAAAAATATTTTTATAAAGTTTCACAAAAAACAATACAAAACAAAAATTTTTTGTTTCGTAAAAAATACGGTACAAATCAAAACAATAATTTCTTGTTTTGTAAAAACTGGTACAAAACGAAATAAGGTTAAACTAAATAAAGTGTGAAATGCCCAGTGCGAAACGAAATAAAGTTAAACTTTTTAGCTAAACTTTTGTTTACAAAACATCAAGTTAGTAAGTATTAAATGCACATATATTCTCCTTGAATGTTAAAGCTCATGTATTGCTCAGGGGTGTGGGAATTATGAAATGTTCTGTAAAAACCAATATAAAATAAAACGAACTTTTCTTGTTTCGTAAAAATACGGTACGAATTGAAACAAGCTTTACTTGTTTCGTAAGAATACGATACAAAACGATATAATATTTTTTTGTTTTTAAAAAACGGCATGAGACAAAAATTATTATTTTCTACCGTGTCAAACCAAACTTCCAAGAGAATACCAGAAGACGCAGATGCTTAGTTGCAGCTAAGTGAGAATGAAATGTCTATGGACTGTCAATGTTCCAATATACCATTGGTTGATGTGACTTTGGTAGGAACTGGGTCAAGTCACTTCTTATTATATTGCCTATGATATCTTTGCTAATAAATTTATATCTATTATATATATTATATCTTTATTAATAAATTTATATCTATTATATATATATTATATCTTTACAAATAAACTTATATCTATTATATATATATATATATATATATATATATATGTATATATATATATATATATATATATATATATATATATATATATATATATATATATATATATATATATTATACCTTTACTAATAAATTTTACCCATTTAGTTTATAGGTCATTTTTTGTAAAACATTTATATGGACAGGGTATATGTACAACAATAGAAATTGATTGTGATATAGAGAGTCTATATTTAACTTTAAAACAATATTATTCTATGAAAGTAACATGTAATTTGATAAACAATAGAACATCAATAGAATAATATTTTATTAATAAACTTAGTAACAGTTCCTAATTGGGTTTAAGATAAACAATTATAATGTTATTATTTTTATTACAATAAATCAAGTGTTTCAAATTTTTTATAAAATTAAAAAAGTAATATTTGTAATTAAAAAAATGGTCATTTTTTTTTTGGATTTTTTTAAGTAAGGAAATTCAGTAAAAAGCTATTTTTTTGTGAAAATCTAAAAAAGTGAAAATTATTTGAGAACATGCCACTGTGTGCCAGCACTAAAACGCCTGTTAAAATAGAGATGTTTGGACATATTTTTGGAGAAACCTATTATTTATTAATAGAAATCTTTGAAAAAACATTATAGAAAAAACGTTTTACACATTTCAGTCAGTACTAATTCAATGAAATTAATAACCTTGTAATCCAATTTTAGTTTCTTTGTATTTTTGTATTTTTTTGCTTAAAGATATAATTTCTTTACACTTATTCTATGATAGCATCAGGAAGGTGGGGGTGGGGAGGGGTTGTGAATCAGATAATATTTTTTAATATTCATATCTTTATTGTATCACACAGTGTTTTAAGTAGTCTTCAATCAATATTTGTAGCCAAAATTAAATGAACGTTTACATGAAATCGCACTTTCAACCGCGAACACACGAAGAAACCGTGGTATGTACAGAAATTTATTGCTTTATGGACCTCCTGGAACTGGTAAAACTATGTTTGCTAAGGTAATTTGTTTGTTTTACTTTTTTTTCATTTTTTTTTCTAAAAGTAAAATAATTAAAAATTTATGTAATTATATCAAAATTAACATTATTATTACACTCTTTAACTCAGTTTTGATTTGCTCAATTTTTTTTAATGCTATTGGTTATTTCTAAAAAGTACTGGAAAATTTAGAGATCTGTAGTTATTTTTTTTTTTTTTTTGGTTTTTGATGTCCCAGTAGTTCTAAAAGTGTTAAATGACTTATAATCTGCAATAAGAAAAAAGTTCAAAATTTTTAACAACTTGGAGTCTGTTGTTTTTTAGCCCAGTCTCTAAGTCTGTTCTGCTATTTTACATAAGGTTTTAAAATTTATTGTTCCTTTTACCTATAAGTCCTCTATAAGCCCAAAAGTAATCCATAAGTCTTTTTAAATTTTTAGAACTTTTAAATACCAAAAACCAGGAAGAAATAATCTTGATTTTTTTTTGAAATTCTCGGTTTTTTGTTTTTAAAAAAAAAAAAGTGTAGATCCTGTTGCTAACACTGCATTAGTCTGCCATTATATTTCCGTCCCAGCCTTCTTGATAATGCTCAGCTAATTTTTAAATATCCAGATGAAATCTTTTTTTTTAGCCACATACTTAAATAGCCCAAATGTTGTGTAAATTGGTCTAAATGTGAATCCAGGTAGTGGATTTTTATGTTCATGTTGCACCTTAGATCTTGCAAGTTTAATAGCATTGTAGCAATGTACTTTACATTGTAGCAATCTTGTAGGGTTTTTTTCAATTAGCAATGTACTTAACAAGCTCAACACAATCCAAAGATTTCTTGTTAATTAGGAATTTACTCTTCAACAAAAATATATGAGTTTCTAGCTTTAGGTTAGACTTCAGTTAAGAACTTCACTATTTGTGAAGATACTAGTTAAAAACTTATCTGCAGAAACAAAAACCTTTAAAGAAATCTGCAGGTTGTATATATATATATATATATATATATATATATATATATATATATATATATATATATATATATATATATATATATATATATATATATATATATATATATATATATAAAACATAAAACAACAGCTGCATACAAACTAAATATTTTCTTTGTAATATTTCGACCTATTTTTGCACATATCGTCATCAGATGTAAAATATAATACAAATATTACAAAATATACAAATATTACAAAATTACAATATTTACAAAGTTACAAATATTACAAAAAAGACATTAAAAAGAAGCCATAAATGATTACATAACAAAGTAGTCTCCAACTGTTAGTAGAAATTTTAACGCCATTGTTGCCTTTGGTTGAGTAGTATAGAAGCGTGTTTTATTTTTTATGGTATGTTAAGGTGTTTTTTGGATAATTTAAAAAAAAAATGGTCTCCAACTGTTAGTAGAAATTTCAACGCCATTGTCGCCTTTGGTTGAGTAGTATAGGAGCGTGTTTTATTTCCTGGTATGTTAAGGCGTAATTAATTTCAAGTTATTCTCAAACTTTACGTTGATTGTGCTCTGATTTTATTGCTAGAGTTTTTAAATTTGCCTAATCAATAATACCATTACATTCTAAACCGTGATTGGTTGCATCTCATTTACCTTTTAAATAGTTTTTTTGATCTTCAATGCATCTCGTTAAAATTTTCTTTTTTGTTTTGCCAATGTATATACTGCTACAAGAGCATGTGAGTTTGTAGACACCAGATTATTGGAATTAACTTTGACTTGTTGTTGCATAAGATGTTTTTTAACTTAGGTGGTGTAGTAAAAATTATTCTGACGTTGTAAGGTTCAAGTTCTTTTATAAGTTTTAGATCTATTCTTGTGAGCAATGGAAACTTAACTGTATATTTACTTGTTTCTGTTTTACTATAATTTATTTTTAAAATGTTGTTTCTTTTCTGAATATAGATCTTAGCAGTTGTTTCAAGCTTTTATCTATCGTGTCCATTTTCTGCAAACATATTCACTAAAAACTGTATTTCATCATTAAGATACTTTGTGGAACAAGTTTTAATGACATGAGATACAAAACCTTTCCTAACACCTATCACTATTTTTGGATTAACGTTTGATGTAGGTTTGATTTGTATATTAGTGATAGCCCACTTCTGATGGATTTTGAAGTTATAGTATGAGTTATTATTGTTGATTACAGTTATTTCCAAGAAGTTTAGTTCTTTTTTTATTGTTTTTTTTTTTCTGAAGTATATCTAATTGCTGGATCTTGTTAATTTAATAATAATGATAAGTTTCTGGAGTTATTAAAGAAACAAGATCCAGCAATAAAATATACTTCAGAAAAAGAAAATAATAAAAGAGTTAAACTTCTTGGATATAACTGCAACCAACACTAATAAATAATTATGCTTATTTAAATTGTTTATTCGCAAAAGTTTTGCGAATAAACAATTTTTAGGGATCCACTTAGATATTTAGGGATCCACTTAGATATTAAGCACCCAAAAAATTTTCTCAAAAACACGAATTTAAAGAAGACTTTTAAAGATTTTACTTTTTTAAAAATTTTTAAAAAGTAACAAAAGTGCTTATATTATCCAAAATTTCAATGAAAAACAAAGAATAATTTAAGCATGCTCGTTTACACACAAATGTTATTTTTAAATCAAGTCAAAAGTAAAAGTGTTTCTATGCAATGTTTTTCAAATAAAAATGGTACGGATTTTTAGTTAACATCTTTATTTTTATTGCATATAAATTGGTTTTTTAAATATGTTTTCAGAGTTTAGCTTATCATTCTGGACTTGATTATGCAATACTTACTGGTGGAGATGTTGCTCCTATGGGAAGAGATGGTGTCACAGCAATGCACAAAGTATTTGATTGGGCTTCTACTTCACGAAGAGGGTTTAAATCTTTTTTTTTTTTTGTATAAAGAAAAAGTTTATGAAGTGTATACATTTATTCATGTCTTGTGTAGTGTTTTTAGTTCTTAATAATTATATGAAAACTTGCCATAATCAAATTTTTAGTTTACTTTTGTTTGTGGATGAGGCAGATGCATTTTTACGAAGAAGAAGCACAGTTAGTTAATTTTTTCAGAATATGTATTAAAGTTCTTTTGGTCTCTAGTTATAATACATTTTGTATATATTATTTTATTTTGTTTAGGAACACATCAGCGAGGACTTAAGAAGCACACTTAATGCTTTCTTATATAGAACTGGTGAATCTTCACGAAAGTGAGCAAGTTTTTTGATTCATTGTATTGTTTGTTTGTTATAATTATTTTTATTCTATTTAATTGTTGCAGTGAGTAGTACTTAATTGAAACATTGCAAGATTTTCTTTTATCTAACAGCATAATGGTTATTTTATTGTGTCTTCCAAAACATCAAATATATTTACAATACTTTATTTAGATTCATGGTTGTTTTGGCAAGTAATCAACCAGATCAATTTGATTGGGCAATAAATAATCGAATAGATGAGCTGGTGGAGTTCAAGTTGCCTTCCTTCGAAGAAAGAGAAATGTTGGTGCGCAAATATTTTGAGGACTACATTTTAAATGCGGCTACACGAGGTTGGAGATCTAAGTAAGTTTTAATATGTTTGTTTCTTGTTTTTTTTTTTGTTTCTTTTTTGTTTTTGTTTTTTTACAGGCTTTGTAATTTCTAATTTGATCTTTTTCTTTTACATTTCTTTCTTGATCAAAAAACTGAATAACAAGGATTTATTGAAATTAGGCTATTATTTAAAAAATTTGATTGCGGAGTTCATTTATGCTTTATTATAATTTTTTTTATTTATTTATATTAAATTTTTATTTTATTTTTTATTTGTTACTGGAAATGTTTTATTAGTTTTGTTAAACATAAAAAATTTGATAAAATTTTGTAGAGGGCTATGGCTTTCTTGTTGCCCAATTTTATTTCAGATAATGTCCCTACAAAAAAAGATAGTACAATCTAAGCTATTTCTATAAACTTAATTTTGATAATGTAAGAGAAAATCTATGTAGCAACTTTAATTTTTTTTTTAAACTAATTCACTTCCAACAAGGTTGTAAGCAACCACTATTAGATTGGGAGTTTCTTAAAAACAAAAAATAATGTTAAAGAGCAAGAAAACTGTTGATAGAAAAGTCAAATATTGAATGCATCATTAAGATGAGGGTAAGTTTTTAGAGCACGGAAAAACAGATAAATGTTACTTTTCTAAATGATGAGTCAAGTGAGAAGGAGTTTTATTTGATGGAAATAGAAATGATAGCTCGTTTGGACAAACATGTTTACTGCTCCTGTGAAGATGGACAAAAAGCTCAAACTTGGTAGATAGAGTAGCTCCAACTACATTTACAATGATTTTGAACCTTGTCTATAAGAGAAAGAGTATCATTAGAAGAACTGGCCCAAATATGATAACAGGGATGAATAAGAGGTTTGTAGAGGTAAATAATAAAATTAGAAGTAAGATAATGAGAAGCACAATAAAGCAACCTTAGCAGATGTTAACTTTGCATTGGGTTGTGTATGGTTTCATTGTAGTCAGTAGTTAAATATCATTAAAAAAAAAAAAAGAAGAAAAGGACATAATTTGAAGGTTGACATTCATTAAAATACAAATGCCTGCGGTATTGTTAGAGTTTGCAGTAAATAATTGAGCTTAGTTCGAGTTTAAATTCTTAAGCAATTCCAAGGCCCAAGCTGTTACAAAAGTCATATTTAAAATTGGATGCATGTTCTAAGCGATTGAAAAGAGAAAACTTACTTAATATAGGAGTATAAGGTTGAGTTGCCAGCAATATAGAGCCATCCAATATTGTTAGGGAGATCATCAATGTACAAGAAAAAATACAGGATCATGGATGTACCTTAAAGAACCCCAGCAGTTACTGGAAATGAAGAAGAGTGTTGGCCTTAAAGATAAATTTATTACTCCAATTTGAAAGAAATCATTTAATAATCTTAAAAACTTTTCTAGATGTACCATTTAAAGCAAGCTTTTGGAAAATGCTAGCATGCTAAACTTTATCGAAAGTTAAACAAGTAGAGCAACAGCCCTTGCCTCCCCTTCATTGTCTAACAGCCAAGCCTGTCTTCATCTAATGTATGATAGAATCATTCAGTCACAACATTTTACAAGTCAGATATAGAACAAGAATATTCAAAACTATATCGATTGATGGAGAGTAAGTTATTAGACTCAAGATCAGAAATTAAGGCTGAAAACCTTGCTAGTAATAGAGAGTAGACTGATCACACATAATAGTTTCAGAGGTTTCAGAGTGTTCTCTAGAGTTTTTCTCGGAAACCACAGATACAAACCACAGATGTCATTTTCAGATAGGAAAAATAGATTTTGAAAAAGAGAGTTTGAGAGAAGTTTAGAGAAAATTGAAGAAATTTCTAGAGGACACCTTAGTTAGAAAATGACAGAAATGTTGTCTGGACGCATGGCTTATAAATAGAATGTTTGATTTATCTTTTTTAATAAAACTGTTGAAGATTTCACAGAGTTTTTTCACACAGTTTCTAGAGCCTAACTTCTGAGTTACATAACTTAGTAAACTGAGAGTAATGGAGCATAATATCAGACAGCACTCTTTTTGCATAGATTTCTTAAACTAATAAATAATAATTTCTTAAACATTTGTTCTCAAGAGTTGCTCTCTCAAAAAAGATTTTTAAAATGATTATGATTAAAATGATTAGATATAGCAGCATAAGAAGGTAAAAACTACGGTGCAGAATGATGCTGGACTTGAAACTGATAACAAAGAATAAAAGCTTCCATACCTGTCTGGATCCAGTAGACTTATATTATATATATTATGATTATCTTTTAATGGTTTAACTTTTATTGTAATATTTTGGTTTAGCTATACTAAAAAATATTTTATAAAATCAGCTCAACAAAATTTATGTTCTTGCTACAAAGTGTTTCAACAATTAGTTAACTTCTTTCAGTGTGCTTTGAGCAGATTGGAAACATTAAATCTACTATATTGTAGTTTGCAGGTTTTTTTTAATGTTCATTATATCTTGACAGTGAGCAGTTGTGAATAACTATAACGGCTAATAGATGAGAAATTATTGAGTTTACTTTCCATATCGCTTTTGTTGAAGTACTATAACATGTTAATATATACAAGAAAAATATTAAAAGTAAAAGTAGTTATTAAACAATAGAAGATTTTTTTAAAAGCAAGTTTAAGAATGCTCAAAACTGTCTGTAAACTCTTAGATAAGCTTGTCCAGTGGATCTTGTGGTTCACTAAATTTGTCTGTCACAACTTAGTCAAAGTTCTTCAGCGTATCAATTAAAGGTATGAGCTCTATCAGAATTATTGCAAAACTCTCACCATTCTTCAATATTGCTCAAAACGTTTTTATCACATGGATTACTTTTTAATATACTGTTAAACCATTGTTTTAAACCTTCCAATAAGGTTTAATGAAAAGTATGATAGTAAAGGTACTAGGTTCTCAGGATCATTTTTCTTTATAAGACAAGGATTTACATCATTCTGAATATAATTAGATTGCATCAGCATACTGGTAGAAACAGTAATGAGATTACTAGCATTCAGAACAGCTTTACTGTCACACCAGGAACAGTTTTACTTTAAACCATGAGTTTTTTTACAGTTTTTAATTATGAATATAGTTCATTTAAAGAGTAGTAGTAATTTAAATACCAATATTCCCAACAAATGTTATCAAGTTTGAAGCCGAAAGAGAATACATACAATTATAAAGTTGAAGCTTCTCAGTTCATACCAGGGCTGTGGAGTCGGAGTTGCGGAGTTGCAACATTTTTAGCAGAGTCAGAGTCGCTAAACAAAATCGTGACTCTGACTCCAATAGTAAAATTTCCTGGTATTACACGTGCATGTACAAAACATTAAATTAACCTTATGTTCATACTAAACCTTTAATGGGATCCCTAAGTGCTCCTAACATATGATCACATATGAAAGAGCATAAAAAAAAAATATGTAAGTTTTTTTTCTTTTTCACTAAACTGTAATAATAAATACATGCTAACAAAAAGCATTTGCCGAAATCACTAAAAAACAACTCCATTTTGATTTTATTTTTTCACCATTGAAACTCGATTGTTAGTCGTTAAAAATCACGTTAGTACGTCACAACAACTTAAGAATATCTACTTCGATTTTCAAGTAAAAAAAAGTCGTGATTAAATAGTTAAGTTTTGATCAAGTTTTTTTAATTAGTTTTGCAAAAACAGTATAATAGCATTTGGTTGAAAGACGTCGTTAAAAAAAAGTTATTAAGTAATAGGTTTAAATAGTTTAGAACTTATAAATTGCAACACACACTTTTGTGATTATTTTTTTTCTTAAAAAAAATATTTTCGCGACTCGTTTTTTTTTGGTTGATTAATTACTTTTTTTCTAGCTTAGCATTTTTTTTAGCAATTCTTAAAAGTAATGTTTTTATCATAAAGAACGTCACACAAAATTTATTATTCTGTATAGATAGATGAATAGATAATTTGCTCTTTCGCGCGGAGATTTTCTTTTAACATAAAACATTTTTGAATTACTTTAAATCTCTGCGGGGAAAATTGTGACAAGGTCGTTAAAGCGAAAAGTTGAAAAGTTGGTTTTTATCTTTGTTTATCAAAACTTCATGTTTAAAATAAGGCTTAAAAACGTTAGAGCAAAAAAATTACTGACTTTTATTTGCATTTTTATACTGTTTGAAAAAAAAAACTAATAAAAAATTAATAATATATAATTATTTATTAATATATTATTAGTTAATTCTTTTTTTATTAGTTTTTTTTTTCAAACAGTATAAAAATGCTAATAAAAACCAGCATTTTTTTTACTTTAACGTTTTTAAGCCTTATTTTAAACATGAAGTATAATTCGATTTATTAAACCAAATTTTTTTGTTTTATCTTTTTTATATTGGAAAACTTGAAATAGAAAAATTGAATAAAAACATCAACCATTTAAATGAAAAACTTAATTATATTTAAACTTTTATTAGCCCTTTATTCAAGAAACAATAAATTATAAAAAACGTGGTATCTAATTTTTTATTAAGTTTTTGACGATGTTTTTTGATTTATTGACGATAATTTTTTTCCCCCATTACCGCACATCGGCGCGAGCTATAAGAGAGAGAGGAGGGGGGATGAGAGAGAAAAAAAATTTTTTTTTAGATTTTTTTGCGTTAATTCGAGCCCTGTCTTAGTTTAATTTCTAATAAAATGTCTATTCAACCTTATCAATTTGAACCAAAAAAATATAGCAATTTAACATAAATGTTAATTTAACTAAAACATTTTACAATCATTATTTTTTTTATCTAGCAAAAATGAGAGTAACCGTCACTTTTGAAAACAAAAAAAATTATTGAAATAAATTTATTTTTTTACTAAGGCAATATTTTAAATAAACTTTCATATGTCTAAGTCAATATTCATTTGTTTTTAACTGACTAAAAAGAGTTTAAAATTTGACTTCTGTTCATTTTTAGCCGTGGAATTGCCCTTATAACACAAATATATAAATTAATATTATAAAAAAAAATTTAATATACAAATATATATTTTCACA